AGTTTGAAGGGTCATATCTCGTGATTGTGAACTTTGATGACCTTGACCTTCATAAGGTCAAAGGTCATTGACCTTAGCTATCAGTTAATACTTTGACATTTGACCTCCGACATGTACTTCCGGTTTTATAGCTGTCTGAAAACAGCCAAATTCGCAACTTTGGACTGCTCTAGCACGTGACCTATTTAACCTAGAGGGTTAATTTTTTCGGATTCTTAATGTGCTTTTCATGCTCTTTCAAATGATTTATAACAATCGTTTTTTGAAGCAAAATTGAAATTCGTGAATTTTTCAAATTTGAGTTTTTTTTTTACAATATTTCTGTTTCTTTGAGCTTGGTGTGTATATATCTTATGACCTATTTTATGTAGAACATTGAAACTTGGAACACAACAAGACAATTTGAATATAAATTAACCTATGACAAAAAAGTTGAGGTGGGCGTGGCACATCCGGGTTGAATTACTAATTGTTTACATTTTGAGAAAGGGGCATAACTCGCATAGGATACATTTGTTCAAAAAGGAACTTTGCACACAATTACCTCATTATTTTGGCCAGTTTGTGTTAAGAGGTCATTTGTTTCAGCTTTATAGTTCCGAAAAAGGAACGGGTTTTGAAATTTCCATATTTTCAATTTTCTATTTTGACCTTTATTGACTCTTGTTGACCTATATCTTTTGACCTGTATGATGTAGAAGCTTTAAATTTGGAACACAACTTAACATTCAGAATATCAATTAACCTATGCAAAAGAAATTGAGGTGGGCCTAGCACATCCGGGTTAAATTACTCATTATTGACAATTTTGGCAAGGGACATAACTCGCAACGTATACATTTGTTCAAAATGGAACTTTGCATACAATTACTTCATACGTTGAGCCACATTGTCTTGGAAGTTCGATTGTTTCAGCTTTATAGTTCAAAAAAAGGAACAGCTTTTGAAAATTCAAAATTTTCAATTTTTGACCTTGACCTTTTTTGACCCTGATTTTTGTAGGATTAAAGGTCATTCACATTGGCTATCTATTTATACTTTTATATTTGCTGTCCTATCTCAACTTCCGGTTTTATAGCCGTATATATTTAAAAATTTTGATGACTTTTATCTCGTAACCTTGACCTTTGTTGACCGTCTCCCTTTCAATGTCAAATGTCATTGACCTTGGCTATCTTCTGATACTTTCATTTGTGCGGTCTGTCTACTTCCGTTATAACAATCTTCCAAAGAATTCTTCTCAACTTTAGACTGCTCTTGCGCGTGATGTAATTATCGTAGAAGGTTGATTTTTTCAGAGTCTTTTGCAATTTGCTACATTCGCAAAGTCCCACTCTGTGCCACGTGTGGCTCTAGTTCTTTTTCTTTTTATTATCTAAAAATTTTAGATGTAATAAAAAACAATAAATATTTCTTAAAAAACAACTGATTTTTATGAAATTTGTTGTAATCATTTATATTGATGAGATTCAAATTTGATGACCTTTAATGAATGTTTTTTGGGTTATTGCCCTTAACTTAGGAAAAAACACGTTTGATTGTGAACACAATAGAGACTACAGTTTTCATCTGATTTAAATGAAATTTGGTGTGATCATTTATGATGATGAGATCTTAGTCAAGTTTGAATTTGACCATTTTTCGATCAACAGAATTTGAGTTATTGCCCTTGACTTAGTAAGAACGCATCAAAATTTGTTGGCTTGTGAACGCGATAGAGATGACAGTTTATGTTAGAATTTTATTAAGTTTGGTGTATTAATAAATGAACAATATCTTGCACAAATTAGATTTTTGGTATGATTTGACACAGATTGGTGACTGGCCTTGATATACTGCTCATTTACAATACTAGATCTTAGAATTTTGCATATGGGAAACAATCAATCTATAAATTCTTATTATATGTAAACTTTAATCAATTAGTAATGAAAATAGAAGCTCTGTTAATGTGGTGTATAAGTACCATATTGTGTTCTACTGTTAGTCCAAAACATCTGCCCCTATTCCAGCCTCTGATGGATATTTTGTCAGC